GACAAACCAGAATATTAATCCACTTTCAAATGGTGGTTTTAGATTCTGGCTTGTTCTAAAACTTAACTGCAGTTTTTTAGTTTAAAGTAGGGAATTATAGGTAATTGAAGACTTGGTGTGCTTGCTCATTCTTGCAGAAAGAGGAGTGAAGGGACTGTGTATGCAGTCAAAAGACTGATTCCTATTGCAGCTTATTAATAGTGGCCAGTATAAAAGTATCTGGGATACATTCCATCACCTTCATTCTAGTAAGATACTGTTTTTAATTTAAAAACCCAAAATATCACAAGAGCAGATGTAAATCTGGTTAAGAGATCAAAGGAAAGCCATGAGCTCATGCATTTAGCTTTTTCTCTTCTACTGTCATCTGCAAGCATTCCTTCTTTTTACCCAGATTAGAGTCAATATTTATGCTGATACTAACCATAGTTAGCTCTCTACATCATAAACTTTTAATCTGGGATTTGAAACCAGGATTGGAATAATTCTATGATTCTGTGAAGCTTGTTTGCAAATCCTGGCTAAGGTTAACCATGGTTACCTCAGGGGCAGAGCCACAACTTCAGTATATTTATCTAGGGAAGGGATGGAAAATTTGCACAGGTGAGAAGAGGAAGGGAACCCACATGCCTGCAGCATGCTCCCAATAACCCATTCATGATTAACACTGCTAGTATTACATACACACCATTTCATGGTATTCCCTTATAGTCTGCATATTTTGAAGTGCTTTACTTTTTTCCTGTTCTTTATTCATCCCCAAAGTGAGTAAATATGGAACAACTTCCCTCTTACATTTTGTCAATACCCTCTTTGGCCAAGATGATTCTAAACTTTGGTATTGCACAATGCAATAAATGTCAATAAGTAAACACCTCCATGATCCTGTATTTGTAAAGTAATTCCATAAAACAAGCTGTTTGAGGCCTCCATTAATCAGTTACACATCCAGTTTTGTGTTTTTTTTCCCCATTTCCCCCATAGTAATGGAATAGCTCTGGTAAAAGGAAACATAGTACAAGAAATTAAGAACCAGTAGTGTGCTCTCTCTCTCTCTCCTTCTCATATTCTTTCCCTTGATTTGTATATACTAGAAAAGTGTCTGATATTTTGAGGGAAGGCTCCTGTAGTGGAAGAACACCTGAAGGAACTGCATTACACATGGCTTGCATTTCAAGCCGCCCAGTATCAAGCATAGTGGACAGGATGTGGCCCTCCTGCACATTTGACCCCAGGGGTTGTGCTTTACTTCTCTATGTAGGAACAAAGTACAGCTAGGAGCAAATAAATTATGTACTTGACCACAGCTGATCTGAAAGGCCTCTCCTTAAGCCTGTATATGTGTGTATCCCCATCCTGTGTCCTGCTTCTTGAATGTGCCAGATTGTGGAGGAATGTTAAGGAGCAGCTTTTACTGAAAATGAGCAAAATGTCCATCCAATGACTATTTTGTTTGTAAGGCCATGATAAAATACCTTTTATTATGTTAATCTTACTGTTATTATGAAAACTCTGGGGTGGTTTTGGAAGAATGAATGAACTGTAACTTCCAAGTAAAGGTATTTTTCTGCATTATTGCTGATTTTGAAGACCCAGGTTGCAGTCTGACAAGAATATAGGCTGGAATAGTGTCCCAGACTTCATTATATCTCATAACAGTTTTAAGAATGTATCAAGAGACTGTTTGCCCATACAGAGCTCTGGAAGAGAGAAGGTTGTGGCAAAAGGGATGGAATTCTGTCTCGGGCAGCCTGCACACCTTCATTCAGGAGTAAGTCTAGGGCTATTGCAAGGAATCAGATGGGGTGCATGGGAGCAGGACTGGGCCAGAAGAAGGTCGTCGGCAAGACCTCAGCAAGCATATTCTTAGCATCTGTTTTCCACATAGGGAAGGAATCAGAGCACCTTCACCATCACCTCTGCTGCTTCCTTGGGCTTGAGGACCCTGAGGTGATCAGGTGGTCCTGGCAGTGGACAGGATAGGTGCTTTTAGTGTCCTTGAGTGTTCTGGATGTGCTTGCAAGTAGGTTCACAACACTGACTTTTGCCCACACTTGTTTCAGTGAGCAAAGCCCCTCTCTGGGCTAATAGAAGGATATTGAATATGCCATGCAGAAAGGGTGGTCAGTGGAACCCACAGAGTTTATTAAGACTTACTGCCAAGTATGTGTGTGTAGGACTTCTGCCTGAGTTTTGAACTCGTTATAATTAAGGTTCTAGATACATGAAAAGGGGGTCCTTCCCTTAGGACCAGAAGAGATTCACAGGCACCATTTTGTATTTGGAATGTGAGATGTCATCCCACATACATGGCACCATCCCATGCATGAACTTCTTGGAGCAGAATAACATACACATTCCTTCTTTTGCTAAATGCATTTGCTTGACGGTCAGAGAGTTCTCCCAAACCGAGTTTTTCTGATTGTTGATATGAACTGAACCAGGGTGGCAGGGTGGTGAGTGGAATGATCAGGCATGGGTGTATATTCTACTGGTTTGAGTTAAGAACTTAAGAAGAGCTAAGCTGGGTCATACCAAGGGTCTGTCTAGTCCAACATTCGGTTCCTATGGTAGCTGTCCAGTTGCCCACAGGATCCCACAAGCAGGATAAGTGTGCAGGTACACTCTCACCAATGTTCCCCAGCACCCGGTGTCCATAAACATCCTGTCTCTGCTACTGAAGGTGGCGCACAGCCATCCAGGCAAATAGCCATTGATACCCTTAATTTGTCCAATCCCCTTAAAAAGCCCCTAAACTGAATCCCACAGTATAACTATGCATGGTGTGAAGAAGTAGTAGCCTTTTTCTGTCCTGAATCTCCCACCAATCAGCCTCATTTGATGACCCTGATTTCTAGTGTTACAGGAAAAGGAGAAAAATGTCTCTCTTTCCACTGTCTGTGCACCATGCATCATCCTGTACACTTCTATCATGTCTCCCCTTGCTTGCCTTTTTTCCAAAGTTAAATAATCTCAGCTATTGTAACCTTTCCTCAGAGAGGAGCTGCTCCAACCCTTTGATCATTTTAGCTGCCCTTTCCTGCACTTTTTACAGCTCTCCAATATTCTTTCTTTAGATGTGGTGACTGGAACTGTACACAGTATTTTAAGTGAGGTCACACCATAGATTTGTATAAGGGCAGTATGACATTTTTAAAAAATATTCTCTTCAGGAGAATAACTCCTCTGTAAAGGAAGAAAGAAGACTCTGTACTTATTCTGCCAAGGAGATCTGTGCATGGAAGCAAATGCCACTGTACACAAAGCCTTGTTACACTTTTGTAGACATTCAAAGACTATAACAAATGCATGTGAACTGTCAGGGAAGTGATATCACGGCAGCAGGTTCTGCTGCTGAACCAGCAAGTATTTAAATGTTTGAAGAGAGCCAGCCTGTACGCAAACATATGCATGTATGCTCCCTTCAGTTGTTTCAATGAATGCATGTAGACTGGGGTGCAGCCTGGCTCTGTGCTCCCCCTTTCTTGCGCATTTATTTCCCGCCCCCTCTAAAGTGTGTAAAGGCTTATCTAGCCTTCATGGACAAGCATTACAATAACACATGCTAAGTAGATGCACGTATAGAAGAAGGATATAGGTTCCTATTCAGAGCTACTAATGGTTGCACTTAAATGCAGCTTGATCTGTGCCCCAGAATTCAAACAATGAAATAAGTATGCCATCCGCTTTAAAAGATGCATTCCCGTTTAAATGGGTGGGGTTCACTGTGGTATGTTCAGAACTGTTGATGGAGAAAAGAGCCACTCTGTTCTGGGTTTACTGCGAGGGTGCTAGTGCGTGTACACTATTCACAATGGTTTTTGTCAGATGTGTATTTGGTATTTGACCCTGGATACATTTTTCAGCCAAACCTATGACGTTAAGTGAATTAACCCTCACTCAGCTCTAGTTCTTACTCAATTTCAATAGATATTCTGTAGCTTTCATAAGGCTCATTTCTCATTTGAACAACTTTCATTTACAAGCAAGCACAAACATCACTTCATAAAAGCCCTAATACATGAAGAATTCTTAACTTTCCCTACTAACAAATTGGATATAGACGTCCTGGAAATCCTGGACTAAACTAATGTATATTTTTTGGTTCAGTTGTAGAAACATGTAAAGATTTTACATGTTACTCACTGAGTGACATATGCAACACAACCGTTAGCAAAAGTTGTTCAAGTGCAAGTTTGAGTAAACTTAGATCCTCTATTTCAAGGCACTTTCAAAGAAAACCTTGAGAAAGGGAATCTCCTTGTATGTCATTCTTCTATTTCCTGTAGCTGCAGAATTTCAGTCTTTCTTGGAACAACAAAAAGGCATAGGATGTGACTGCAACCATGTCTTGCAGGCTTAATGTAAATGTAGCTTTGGATTCCACCTGGGAGCGAACCTACCAAGGAACAAAATAAGGAAAGACTAATACACAAAGCAATATAATGAGCAAATTCAGTCCCATTCATGGCAAGAGTTCACTGTGAATTGGGCTGACAGTGGCATCAGCTTGCCTTTATTCTTTCCTTAACTTTGGGTTTCTCCAGACCACTCCTTTTCTTCCACAGGTGCTTGGTTACAAACTCACATTCAGTACAAGAAATAGAAGGACAAGATATTGACTAGCTTATAAATATTAGCCATTGACTGTTACAGCAAAGATTGTAGTGAGCAGTTACCATGAAAAAATGCTTATGGAGTATACAGCATAAACTGCTCTTTGTAAGAAAATGATAGGAAATCCTTCCAAGAAGCTAAACTTGCTACATTTTGTTGTGGATAAAGGATTTATTGTTATTATATTATATATTTATTGTTATTATTATAATCAGCAACTATTGGCATATAATGTCCAGTGTTCTATTGCTTCATAGTATTATACATATTCTGTTTTGAAAATGTCATCTGATTACTTTGTTCAATAGAGGATGGTCATAAAATGATGCAATTAAAATAATGTGAATAATAACTGATATAATTCTGCTCATTTTTCCCTCTAGGGGGATAGCTCTTATGTGAAGGACCGCTGGTGTGTGTTTGATGGATTCATGGTCTTTTGTCTTTGGGTGTCATTAGTTTTACAGGTAATTTATATTTTGTTACAATGAGAGCAAAAGTACATGTTCACTTCCAACAGGATTCTGAGACATATTTAAGGGAAAATAAACTAACTAAAACACTCTTGAGATCCTCTTCTCTTCCAATAACAAGTATTTTTCCAGTAGGGTTGGTTTCATTCCTTGGAACTAGGCCAAGCAGGAAGATTCTGTCAAGGCCCAGTATTTGACACAATGGTCTTTCTGAACTAAAACAATGCTCTCTGCTCCCCAACTTCTTTCACGTCACAGTGTACCTCTGTATTGCACAATTGTTTGCAGAATCGGTTGAATACAGTATTTGTACCAGTTTGTAAAAACAGTTTCCAAGAACACCAGAAACTGACATACATGCAGTCCTATCTTTGGTCCATTTATGCTGGGATTGTCAACACTGACTGGTGGAGGCTCTCCCGCATTTCAGACTGGAGTCTTTCCCAGACCTGCCTGAGAAAGAAGGGGGATGAACCTGGGATTTCTGCTTGCATTTATCTCTGAACAATGGCACGTCCAGGACAGCAGTTTGGGCACTTAATTGTCTGAAATGCAGAGACAGCAGCATTACCTTCAGCTTTTCTGAGTTCTCTCAGTTAGAAGACATTCTCCTGGATAGGATAGTTGCTGGCCAAAGCTGAAGTGGGAAACAATTTATTGATTTATTTCTTCTGCAGAAACCCCAAATGTGCATTTTGGTAAAAGTTGGCTTATATGTGCAAATGTCAATAAACTATTCATAGCCTGGATGAGGTTTTCTGAGAAAAAAATCAGTATAATTGGAAAATAATCTGTAATACTAATGCATACATTAAGATCAATGCACATAATTTAAGCTATTTCAGACTTTGATAAATCAATGCATTGTCATTTTTTCCAAAGATTCTGAGGATGCAGTCTCCTTGCTCAGTAGATCCCCATCTTCCTGCTTGGCACATGTGTGTACAGTGTGATATATTAACTGTTACTTGGAACAACAAGCCCACACACTTCTGTTTCTTTGTACAGTTCTCCAGTTCAGCCTACTATGTGTACACGGCTGTACATTAACAGGGAGGGTTTATGTGGCCTCTCCTTGAATATCCCAGCAGTCCAAATTTGAGTGTTTTTAGATTGCAGTATGGTTCCTTCTTCTTTCCTGATAGATTATTTTAATTCCCATTTGTAGCTGCAATTTCACAGATCAGACAATTGACATTTTATGTTCCAAAGATGAGTTGCTTGAATTGTAAAAACTCAGTTGCTAAAGGCACTTTGTTCAAGAAATATGGAAATCGTTCAGCTAAAAAAATATTATGAACATTGACATTGAAAACACACTGTTCTGGAAATTGTATTATTTTGTGGAAAGAATAATAAGGTAAAAATCACTAAAAAGAACAGTGGTGTGATCAGAGAGGAAAAGGCATTTAGAGGAAAAAAGATGTTTCTTTTCTTCCCAGGTGTTTGAAATTGCTGAGATAGTTGATCAAATGTCACCTTGGGGCATGTTGAGGATCCCACGGCCACTTATCATGATTCGAGCATTCCGGATCTATTTCCGCTTTGAGTTGCCAAGAACCAGAATAACTAACATTTTAAAGTAAGTGGGCTCTTTACCTTCAGTTTTAAAGTGTTGCTTTACTAATTCTGGGCACCATTGTATAAGAATGGACTGGGACAGGAGGCTGCCTTCTGATGTTTGGTATTATTCAAACTACCTTTTATCACTTATTTCATATACAGAGGGTGCCAAAAAAAGTATACACATTTTAAGAAAGGAAAAAAACTGTATTAAAAACTGTCGCATGGTGACACCAACATTCGATTAACGCCAACTTTTGAGCAAACATCATACTACACATTGCTACCATAATTCGATTCAACTTTGAAAAGTAATACATAGATAATATCTCTTAAAATGTGTATACATTTTTTGGCATCCCCTGTATATATGAGGTATTCACTATTGGGAAGATGGCATAGGATTTTGAAGAAATACCAGACCCACCTACTGTTCTTTTTAACTACTAGAAGGAAAAAGTTTTTTAAAAAATCAAGAAGGTATCTCATTGGAACTGCACTGATATGGATGTAGCTACTGATGTCATAAAACTGAAGTGACCAGAGTACTGAAGGAGCAATTTGATCCAGGTTTAGGCCAGAAATAAAAGGCCTTTGATCTCCAGCATGTCTTACCAGGATTGCACCCTAACTGAACTTGCATAGGATTATGCCCTAAGTAAACTCTATGTTGTAAGCCGCCCCGAGGCTTCGGCGAATGGGGCGGCATAAAAATGTTTTAATAAAATAAATAAATAAATAAACTTCCTTCCTGTTGATTTTTTTTTCGCATACTGCATTTTTGGTGTATAGTTAAGATTGTGAAAATTTCTATCTAGCAAGTAATGCAAGAAGGAGATAGACAATGCATCATAGAGATGCATTGTTAAAGAAGCATGATTTTCCACAGCACCCAGAGCAAGCCATCGCTGGATTGGTATTGGAGACTGACTCATGGCAGATGCACATGAACCACTGAAAGAGGGAAAAGGGTGCATTTGGCAGAGTTGCCCCAGGACTGCCGCACTTAGGGTGCCATCTGCAATATGATTCCTGTGAAGATTATGTAGAGAGGCTGGCTTCAGATCAGAGAGAGTTTAAAACTAAATAACTGCTATAATGTTGACATTTTGAAAGAAGAGAAGTACACTCTTCTGCTCATCCCCAGAATGTCTATGAATGACTGAAAAATTGCATTATTGACAATGTTGCAGAGTTTGTATGTGGGACAGCAAACAAAGAACCTGGTCTTCATTTATTTTATGGAATAGATTTACAAAAAGTACAATAGTTTTTTCTTGTAATATTGTAATATTTTGTATTTAAATTATGATGGTCATATATATATGTGTGGAGTGTGTGTGTGTGTGTGCGCACGCACATGCACCCATGTGCATATATGCTTGCCTGCATTAACATGCATTTTGTGCTATATAGTCAAGCATATTGTATAATATGATCAAAAAGTTCTTACTGGATTAGTTCATACTATGTTCAATTCTAATTATAATGCCTTGCAAAACTATTTATTAACATTCTGTTGTGTTACAGCCTGGAATTGAAATGAGCTGGCATTGTAACCACTTCATGCCCATAATATACTCAAAATTGCTAAGGTGCAAAATATTTTTAGTGTGACACAAAAGTTAAGTGAACAGGAAAACCCTGCCATTTGTAAGTGGCCTGAGTATTCACCCCACAAGGCAATACTTGACAGAAATATCACTAGCAGCAATTCCACCTGGGAGTTCTGTTGGGTAAGTCTGTGTCTCCTGCCCACATCTGGATCCTGCAACAGTTGCCCGCTCAGCCTGATAAAACTTCTCCAGCTCTGCCAGGCGCAATGAACAGCAGCTTGCAAGTCTTGCCTCAGGTTCTCAGTTGATTGAGGTCTGGCTTTAAATGGCCATTAAAAGATATAACCACTCCAGTGTTAATTTGGCTGTGTGTTTAGGGTCATTGTTCTGCTGGAAGATGAACTCTCATCCTCAGTCGCCACTCTGTTCTAGACTGAAACAACTTTTCCTCTAGTAATGCCCTACACTTGGCCTCATCCATCTTGCCCTCAGTCCTGAGCAGTCCTCCATTCCCTAGTGAGGAACAGTATTTCCAGAACATGATGCTGCCACCACGATGGTGGTTCACTATAGGAATAATGTTCCTGGGTCAAGGAGCACTGTTGGCTTTGTGTCACATGTAGCATTTTGCAGCAAAGCCAAAAATTTCAATGTTGCCCTTTTCTCAAATGTTTGTTGTGTCCCCCACACAGCAAACTCCAAAGGGGTGTTGTTTCCACAGTGGTTTTTCACTGTACCACAAAGCCGAGCTTTCTGGAGCCTCTGGCTGATAATTGTCCCTCGGATGTTTTCTCTAGTCTCAGCTGTGGATCTCTCCAGCTCCTTGAAGGTTCTTTTTGGTCTCTTGGTTGCTTATCTGATTAATGCCCACCTTACCCAATCTCAGAGGTTTGGTGGAGAGCCTTCTCTAGGCAGAGCTGAGGCTAAGCCTCATTCTTTCTATTTTGTAAAAATGGATTTAATAGGAAGTTTTGAGGGACATTCATATTGCAGTGAGTTTGCTTTTTGTTTTAATAACCCAACCTTGACTGGTGCTTCTGTACAACTTTATCCCGCAGTTCTTTTGACTTCTCCCTGGTCTTTGTGATGCTGTATGTTTAGATACGCATTGTAACCAATAAGGATGCTTCCATAAACAGGTGCGTTTAATTTGAGATCACATGGCATTGGAATGGCACACAGGCAGATGCTGTTAAATTACAGTACGCTACTTCTGCAGGCAGTGAAGTGCACCAGAGTTTTCACGCCACAGCAAAGGAGGCAAATACTTTTTCAACCATCAAGTACACAGTTTGCTTCTGTGTACTTAACTTTTGTGCCACGACAAAAATATTTTTCATCTTCACAATGTTGAGTATCTTCTGTATATCAAGTAGTAACAATACCAATTAAATCCATTTTAATGCCAGGTTGTAACACAACAAAATGTGGAGAGGGCAATGGGGGGAATATTTCTGCAAGGCACTGTATATATAGTAGATACAAACTAATTACAGAATTATTTTATAATTATACATGATATAATTATTTTGATAATTTCTATACATAATACAACCTAAAAATTAAGGAAAGGAAGGTGGACAGAAATGCACATGTGGTTGAGGATTGTTGAATGCTCCAGTACTTCCTGCCCACTCAAGACCAATGTATGTTTCAGTGTCAGAGCTAAGCTATGAGAAAACCATGTGAAGAGAAGCTAGGGATGAGTTAGCCATGGTCTGGCGACTGCTGGGTGCTCCCCACCTACATGCTTCTCTTGATATGTGAAAAGAGAACACAGTGCCTTCTTTCTGTGTGATTCCCAAATGATACCTTGACAATTTGTGAATGGGTTAATCCTGCTCCAGCCTGCCTTTATCTTCCTCTGGAGGTCTTTTGCTTCTTTTTGCTTTTTGAAAGCGCAACCCAGCTCTGTGTTTTCAAGGGCTAAACTGCACATTTATCCTTCCATCGTAAGGCTCTCCTCTACACATCCAGTTCATGTGGATGGCATGTGGTACTGCTGGCCCTGAAAAGAGACTCACGGAAGCCAAAGCATGTGCATTACGGCGGGGTTGGGGGATTATATTTTTATGCAAGAATGGAAAGGTAATGAAGCTAATGGGGCAGTGGGCCCTGCCCACTAGGTTTATATTTTTAATGCATTTTATAGGAGCCTATTCAAGGCACTTCAAAAATAAATCAACAACAATAGAGTACAAATTTCTTCTAGATGGTTTCTTATTCTACACACATTTAATGTATGCCACCTTCTTTTTTCATAGGCGTTCTGGTGAACAAATCTGGAGTGTGTCAATATTCCTTTTGTTCTTTCTGCTTCTATATGGAATTTTGGGGGTTCAGATGTTTGGACCTTTCACATATCATTGTGTAACAAATGATACAAAGCCAGGGTAAGTCGAAATCAGGATTTCTCTAATTTTGGTCTAGTGTTCTTCTCTCTGGAGCAGAAGTGGGGAACATTTTTCAGTCAGAGGGACACATTCTTGCCCCACTAATCATGGGGCCCCATGGCAGGGCAGCCACCCTCTCTTTCATCCATACATGCAATTCATCCATATCCCTTCTCCCTCCCTTTCTCTCACACACATATATACCCAGACTCCTTCTCTCCCTTGCTAATATGCTTTATGTGGGGCAGCCTTTAAAAATAGACCAGTGAATTCATCTGGTTCAAAATTAGGCCACACGTTTAGTAGCAGGGATTTGTTTGTGGGCCCACACATCAGTTCTGGACAAACTACACTGGTTGCCAGTGGAAGTCAGGGCTCAGTTCAAGTGCTTGTTTAGACATATAAATGGCTTAGCATCTGGCTACCTGAAGGACCATCTCCCATACCTACCCTCCATTAAGATCTGGGCAGGAGGTCCTTCTAGTAGAAGAAGGGCCTTCTTGGTGATTACCCCCTTTGATGGAATAGGCTCCTCAGAGAGATTTGCCTAGTGCCAATATATTCACTTTTCAGTGCCAGGCAAAAACATTTTTCTTTATCAGGTATTTTAACAACTGATTTTAATTTATTTATCACTAATAATGTATATGGTTGTCCTTTTAAGGTGCCATATTTTTAAATGGCCATTATAGAAACATAGAAACAGAGTGAGTCAGAAGGGACCTCCTGGACCATCTAGTCTGACCCTCGGCTCCAGCCGGCTCCACTCACGACATGCTCACCATGTGGACGTCCAAGCCTATCCTTGAATATCCACCCTGATCCCACACTGATGGGGCCTCAACGACCTCCCGTGGAAGCCCATTCCACACCCTCGGGATCCTAACTGTCAGGAAGTGCTTCCTGGCATCCAAATGGAACCTTGGCTCCCTGAGCTTTGCTACATTGGAGCGCGTCCTGCCTTCCTCTGCAGGGGAGAACAGGTCTCTACCCATCCCTATGTGACACCCCCTCACATACCTATATGTCACCAACATATCCCCTCTGAGTCTCCTCTTCTCCAGGCTGAAGAGACCCAGTTCCCTCGGTCTCGCCTCATACGGCATCCCCTGCAAACTGGCCACCAACCTTGTGGCCCTACGCTGCACTGACTCTAACCTGGCTATATCCTTTCTGTAATGAGGGGCCCAAAACTGAGCACAATACTCCAGTTGCAGGCGCACCAGAGTCATATAGAGTGGTAGTAATACCTCTCTCGATCTAGAAGCCACACTTCTGGCTATGCAACCAAGGGTGGTGTTCGCCCTCTTGACCACCGCATCACCTTAGCCTGCAGTCAACCAGTAGCCCGAGGTCTCTTTCACAAGTACGGTTGCTGTTTTATTATGATGTTTTTGTTGTTTTGTTGCTATTAAGAATTGTGTTTTGATTACTGTAGTGAGCCACTTAGATATCCCTGTTGGAATAGCAGGAGGCATACAAGTGTAAAAATAAATAATCAAGTAAATAAATAATGCACTCTCACGGGCGCATATATACAGTTCCTCCTTCAGCACTGCTCAGTTGTAGGGAATGGGGCATGATCATGAGGAAAGGAGGTTAAAAGGCCCCCTCCCAGGGCTCCCTCACCAGCTCAGGACACAGCTAAGCAGAGGCCAAGAAGAATCTGCTTCAGCAGCCCAGTGAATGTCTCTACTGGCTTACCAAGGTGAGATGAATACTCTGCCCCATATGCCTGACCGAACTGATGAACCGGATTCCTCATTGTTTGCTGCTCAGCTGTTTCTTGAACACGCAAGAAGGGAGGCTGAAACACCTCCTTCCTGCAATCTCACCCCTACTTGCTGCTCAGGAAATAGCAGAGCAGTGGCAAAGAGGAAGCTGGTCTGTCTAGAGCTCCCACCACAGTGTGCTGCTGGCATCTTGATGTAGAGCTAAACTAGGACCAGAAAGATCACATGGAAGGAATCCTTCAAGCAAGATATTGAGGAGCAAAACAGGTCTTCTAGAGGAATGATTTGGCTTGATTTGGGGGGTTCAACTGAGTCTTTGTCATGAAATAGCTGCCTCTTTGGGGGCTTAGCATCATTGTTTCCTGGTAAAATTAGAAGGTTAAACTAGAGTTTGGGGCAAGGAATGTTTCCCATGGAGAGAAGAGTAGAAGTGCTCCACAGAAATTTCCAATGCATGCTGGAAGCCAGGTATGATTTTCTGCATGTTACTCCGACAAGAAGCAGTTCATGACTGAGCCTTAAGTAGGGGGTTGGTGTCGTGAGGCACAGTCTTCCTCCTGAGTAAACATGCTGCTCCAGAGTTCCTTCTTATTTATTTATTTATTTATTTTTATTTTTCAATTTATATCCTGCCTTTTTCCTACAAAGGGCTCAAGGCAGCTTACATCATTCTCCTACTCCATCTCATCCCCACAACAACAACCCTGTGAGGTAGGTTGGGCTGAGAGTCTGTGACTGGCCCAAAGTCACCCAGTTGGCTCCATGGCCGAGCGGGGACTAGAACCCAGATCTCCTGAGTCCAGTCCCATGCTCTTAACCACTACACCACACTGGCTCTCTTACAAGGCTTTATTGTTACAGGCCCCTATTGTTGCACATTTCTGAGTGCAGCACTTCACCCAGAGTAAAGTGCTGAGCCCTCTCTAACACCTCTCAGCCTCCACCCCTCTTATAGCACTTTCCTCTATGCCAACCAAGAGGTGGGCCACTGTGATACCTCACCTGCCAGTGCGCCTCCTGCTGCTTCATTGACTGAGTCTCCCACTCAGCAGGCAGCATCACCTCCTCGGGGGAGGGACAGACTGCTCATCTCTTAGCCAGATCCCAAGTTCTCCCATTGGCAGATTGGGGCTCTTGTCAGCCTCAGCTCCCAACTCCACCTCCTGCTGTGTTATCTCCCCATTTCCAGAAGATGGGCTGGCTGTCATCTCCACCCTCCTGGGTAACCCTCTTGGGGCCTCGGGCATTTCCCGGCTGTGATCTGATGCTGTAGTTTGCTGCAACTCCAGAACTACTCCATCTTGCTGTCCAAACTTCCATTCCCATCAAAGTTATAAACTGGTCTTCATGGCTGCACTGTTCAAAGCAAAAGAATGACAATGCAAGGGAGAAGGTCCCTCAGTTCTTTCTGAGCAGGTGGGGCCTCATTATGCTCCTCTCTAACCACGTTCTTTTCCTGAACAATTAAATCAGGAGCTTCGTCTCAGGACAAGAAATCAGGATACTCTTAGGATGAGGACTTGGGATGTAGTCCTTGCCCCAAGAATTCTCAAATTCTCAACAACAAACACCCCTCTAGATACCAGCTATAAAAAGGCAATTAAAATTTCCAAGATGCCATGCAAATGTGTATGGAACATGCATCTAAGGATCATCTAGTGGTTCTCTGTAGGATATTGCCTGTATGTCAGAGTTCTCCTTTCTTCCAGAGCCTGATTGATCAGGGCAGAAAAAAGGCTGTTCCAATAGCTCCCTCACACACACACACACACACACACACACACACACACACACACACTTTACCTCCTATATATTTTAAAATTCTGGTAGTTTTATTTGTTTAGCCCACTCTGCTAGTTGGAGATTTTAATGGAGTAAAATTGTACGTGTTTTTCTTTTACTATTTTTGTTGTTTTTGTTTTAAATTGTAAGCCACACCGAGAAACATGTTATAAAGAGCAGTATATAAATTAACTACATGAATGACCCAATGGAAATAAATACAGAGAGAAAGTAAGAAAGTTCAGAGATAGCTTGGACCAGCTTCCAATGCATTTGGAGATTTCCAAATCCCAAGTCAGCTATTATTTGATTCCCACACCTCCCATTGCTGCTATCATTACTGGCAATTAAATGGCTCCTTTCAACCACAGGTGGCTGAAAGAAGGGTGCTAATTCCCTCTTTTCACATATTGTTGATTCCAGTTGCTCTGTCTTTTGTAGCACTTTTCAAAACATGACCCATAAGAACATGGGAAGTAATCTTTAGCTGGTTAATGATAGCCTATTAAGTAGTGTTTAATAAACAATGATCTGCTTTACAAGAACACATCAATGTGCCATGCTGGCCCATGAGAGATACTGAGTCCAAATAGCTGTGGAAATTTCTTCAGTGATTCCTGAATATTGCTTCATGAGCATTTTCCCATTGTCTTAATCTGCTTAATAATGAGGTCAAAACAGTGGTGCGTCCTTACCAATAGACCAGACCACACAACTTGTGCTGAATGCAGCCCACCCACCATATTTTGTGGCTTCTAGTTTCTGGTTTGCAGATATAGGCAGGCCAAGGAGAAAAAAGGGTGCTATGACACTTGCAGTGTGTGACACTTCCGTGTTTAGCTTGATGAGTGACAACTTGCATAGGCCTGCTCATGTGATGAAAGGTCTTTACTTTATCTTCAGCCGTCTCTTCAGGGAGTATTGTCTTAAGCATCCTTCAGTGTGTGGGCTTTTCCCACTGGGGACTTCAGGTGACTAGGCCAAAACCTGGCTATTCCAGGAACATCAGTTAGGCATATGTAGAAGAGGAAGTAGTGTTCCCTGTTGCTTGAGGACAAAAGTACCTTGGTTTCCCAGGAATAATCAGCAGTTGGGGTCCCATCTATATATGTGTGCCAAAGCAAATACACATAAATAGTCTTAATAGTATATAATTAGTAGTAAATTCTGAACTTATATCCAATACACTACATACAATATAGCATAGACAAGCACTTAATAAGATCTTCTTAAAGAAAAAGTTTGAGTACTATATTTTCTGCAAAGCGCATAAGATACTCAGCACTGCCCTAATTTCTCAAGACCTCCCCTTTCCCTTGAGAGAATTCTGGATCCCTTTCTTGCCAAGCATTCTTCACACTCATTATGCTGTTGTTATTATCACTTCTCTAGCTGAGGCAGCTATTCATTCCTGCTCATTCTCTCTCCCCACCACACACACACACACACACACACACACACACAGAGGGAGAGGGAGAAGGAGGA